CACAATGGGCACTTAAAGTCTGCTCCCTTTGCTGAAATAAAAGTGGCATATTATTGCATTTAGACCGCTAATGAATCTGTATACTTTAGTGCCTTCAATCAGGTATGGAACCCCGGAGCCATATCTACTCAATTCAACGAAACTTGGTGGCAGTACTCATCCAACCGACATATTCCCCTTGAACTAAAGGATTCGAATCTGCTCATTTGGCTCTTCTGGTTCCTTTCCGGCACAAAATAGTTCATTAAAGAGTGTAGTAAATTGTTCCCAGGGCATCCTAGTGGACAGAAGGCTGAATATAATCTCGAACCACGCTTCTGCTATCCCTCCCATTCTACGGCCGCAAACACAATGGTCCTTTCATCATCACAGGCCTAGCTCTAGCACAAAATCCCTTATTCTAGGCCAAAAAGGAATGGAGCATCTTTCAGTGGCCTGTGAACTTAGCGGGTTAAACGATGAATCTGTCATTACAGGTTATCAGTAGCAGCCCTCGGAACAGTTAGGAGGTGGAGCCAGTTGAAAACTGGTTGTGCTGCCTGATCGGGCATAGATGGATGCATCTGTTTGCTGTTGCTGAGCTTGAAGAATGGTTGTTGCTGCATTACACATTAATTCATTGCTGCTGTTATTAGGCCTGTTGTAGCCCGGTCAACAATGTGTTCATTTTCAATGGGAGTCCCCTCCATATTTTCCTTCATTTCCCACCTTTCTTGGGGCCACCTTCATTCTTGATTATTTACTCCTAGCAGATTTTATTTCTTTTCGTCTTTCTTCGTCGTCTAGGATAGCGGAATGCCCAGAAGAGACTTCACAGGAAACATCTCGCTTCCGGCGTATCATCAGGGAGCATCTTGCCCCACGTTTTCGAGTGGCTCTACCACTGTTCTTTCACCACTGCTGAAATTTCCAAGTACAGGTAGAACTTTATTAGAATATAACCATTCATATCCTATTTCATATCAATTTACATTATAAACCTAACTGAAAATAGGACTCATACGGTGATCACGCTGAAACTTAATAGGCAGAGAAAACTATATTTCAAGACGTGACGGAAATAACTCCGCAAGTTATCTCTAGAACTCCTAAAACTTATGCTCTGATCCACCTTTGTCACATCCATTTTTCCGTGGGCCGGACCGGCACTAGGGCCTAGGTAAGCTTAAGGCCCCGAGGCCCGTAGTAAGCCTAAACCACTCAACTCAAGCCATAAGACCATCATTCAATGGAACAGTAGCCCATGCAAGATAGGATATAAATTTTACATAATGCGTCCAATTTTAATTTTCTTCAAACAAGTTTAGTTTGGGCCTAATCATAATCAATTTCACATCATAATATGCATACTGGTCCAACCTTGCACCTAATAACATAACAAACCATACATATAAGGTAACCCACATACGGCAGTCCCAACTGAAAATTACAGACCCTACAATGCGGAGTTCAACAATTAATGAAACTAAAGTAGTGTATGTAATTAATAATACAAATTCTCAAATTATAATAACAAAAGTTATAAGTTGTACTTTTGTAGCTCCGCGCGAGGAAAATGACAGAGCTTCAGTTGAAGAATACAGCGACTTCCTTACACCTGAGAGGTTTGGAGGAGAAGTGGGGGGTGAGTTTTGCAACTTCAGTGAATAATAATAAATAATACACCACCCACACATTCACGCAAAAATGCACTAATATTCTAAAATTGAGGCATGCTGCAGCTCATTTATATGGCACAAACACTAGCACCCAACAAGTAATGTCACCTTCAAGTAATCAGTAAGTGGAAATTTAGTCACGGTGGCACCCACCTGAACCCAACGGAAGCCGTCCTCACACATGGCTCGCCCTTCTCGTACATGTGCACCAGGGGAGCCGAATCCCCCATTACGGCCAACTGGGTCTAAACCTCCACTGACCAGTCCTCTCACTTGTTTTTCCATTCTCTCTTTCCTCATATCAACAGAGGCAACTCGGTGAGTCTCCAATCCAATCTAGATCGTTCAAGTGCTCAACAGAGGCCACCTGCGAACTACAATACAAACCTAGCTATTGTCAGGTGCGCCAAACATTCAACAAGAAGCCATCCTGTGAATTTCCATATAATCTAAAAATCATCAGGTGACAAGGGGGCCCGACTCCCATTTTCCCGGGCCGACAGGGTCTAAGTATCATATCATAACCGGATTCCCATATCACAGACCGTTCCTCACAAACCCCTAGTGTCCACTTCATTCCCAATTCCACACAACCAAAGCAACGTTATAGCACAACACAAGTAATCAAACAATGCTTCAAGGTAATGCACCAATACATCCAAAATGTGACAATCACAAATATAATTTATGTAGTAATAGTGACATAAAATATATATTTAGTAAATAATTACTATGCAAAATGCAATGTTGATATGCATTTATTTATTATTACTTCACTGTGATGGTAGAGCGAAGCTCTGCCTTGATTTTGTCCTGGAGGAGCACTTAGATGGCCCGGGCGATCTAAAAAAAAAATGGATGCTGGAATTTACTTGTCCGGAGATGGAGGCTACACGTGCCGGAGTGAAGGAGCAGGTGGAAGGCCTGATGGCCGGAGGTGCCCTGGAGCAGCGGCAGTAGTGGCAAGTTGGCAATGGCGTTTGAGGTAGCTGGGGTTGAGGCGCTGCACGATCGAGGGCAGAAGGAGCTGGCGCTGCCACATTTCTGGCAGCGAGATGGAGCTTGCTGGCAGTGGCGGCGCGGAGGAGCAAGCGGAGCGACGGAGGTGATGCGACTGCTCGGCGTGGAGTTGGCGGCGAGGCTTGGGTGGCGCGCAGCGAACCTCTGTCTCTCGCTAGTCACACGAAGACAGACGCAGGGGAAGAAGGAAGGAAAAGGAAAGAAGAAAGAATAAGAAAAGAATAAGAAAAGAAAAAGAAAGAGAAGAGAGGGAAGGAGGGTGGTGGCTGGGGAGGCTGTTGGGTCAACCGGTGACTGACTGGAAGTGTGTGAGAGGTGAGCGGGTGGAGCGTTGAATATTAGAGAGGAGAAGAAGCTTTCTAGATGGTTTGGGTCGGGAACCGTTCGATTCGGTCCGATTCGGCCCAAATCTTTGGTTTTCATGGCTTTTCGACCTTATCTGCTACTTCGGTTTTCGGTGTTTGTGTGGTTCTCACAGTATCTCTACGGCCAACTATAAATAGTGATCTAATTTCATTCGCATTTTTCAGGCTGTCGGGTGACATTAGATAATTTTAATGTGGAAGGATAATTAGTTCTTTCTTGAACAATATAATTCGATTCGTTTCACATCACCACTATTTATCTTTATTTAATAAATGTTTATTATCCATAACATTTTATATTCTTTCAAAATCCTTTGTATTTCTATATTAGTATAAATTTATTTTCTTAATTTTGTTGCAAAAAATTATATTAGTGTCTTGTTTAGAACAGGCGGAGGAGTATTTATTTTAATTTCTTCCCTAAAAAAATTTATTTTTAATTTACAGTAAATATAAAATGATAAGAAAAATACCAAGCTTTGAATGATTCAGGTTGCGCGCGGTGAGTTAAAAGGTAAGCAATAGAGGCACACGTGACGGACAACCCGTTGAGACGGTTAGATATTAAGCTGACGAAGCTGGGGCCGGACTTCCTGAAACTCCAAAATTTGAACTCCTTATCAATTTACATTTCCATTTCATTTCACTTTCATTTGGAGTTTCATTTTATCACAGGAAGCTGAAGGACATGGCATAACCTTGATAGAGAAGGTGCCCAAGCTTTGAGTTTGACTTTGACCCAAAACATTAAAAAGAGGGAAGAGAGAGTAAAGCAAGAACAGAGGGGAAGAAAAGTCTTACTTTTCCTCCCTCCTTCCTCTTTGAAGGGAAAGCTCTTTCAAGATATATAAAAGAGCCCCACCAATTTGGCTTTTTTTTATTCCTTCAGCTCCACACCTTTCATATTTTGAGTTATTTCTCCTCTTTACAAAACTACGAACTTCGTATTCATTAATCGGTTCTGTCTTTTCTTCTCACACAAGTACGAGCTCATAGGTATGTTTCTTACTCATAAACTGGAAAAAAGATGCTGTCTTTTGCCTTATTTTTGCGCATTATGGTTTGTTTGTTCCTGAGCGGATATTCATGAATTTTTTTGGGTGTTTTTCTATTTGGGTTTGTTTGATTTTTGTTGAAGTTTGAGTATTTGTTTGTTTTTCTCTGGGTATTAGCTTAATTTTGACCTAATTGTGCCTTAAAACTTCCTTGTTTTGTTTTTATGCTGGAAATTTTTAGTGATTATTGAAGAACAATATTATTTGGCTATTTTGATTTATAAATAAAATGTTTGCTATTTGCTTTTGTTGTGTTATTTGTTGCGTTCTTCCTGTTTCCTGGTACGATAAATTTGGAAAGAAAAAAGTTGAGTAGATGCAATATGGAAGGGTTTTTATCGTTAATTTGACTTCTTTTGATTTATCCTATATTTTCCTATCTGAATCATATATATATATATATATATATATATACTATATATATTATAGGGATAGCTATTTTTGGTGTGGGGAGTTGACTAGATTTATTTCTTGTACAAATTAATGAATTTTTGGGACAAAATAATAGTTATTTTTTTCTTATACAAATAATAATTAATAAAATAATAATAATTAATTGTATGGATTGATTCATATGGGCTTTTTGTTTTACTTTTTTAAGCAATTTAGATTTTCTTCTGTAAATAGAATGGTGAATTTAATGTATCTGTTTGTTGTGATTGTTCCAGAAATTAGGGTATGTTGCAGTGTTCCAGAGTAACTCTTCCCTTTCAAATCCCATCATGGAGCACGAGTCTTGCAACCAGAAAGATGTATTCTCTTCCAAATGTTCAGTTTTGCTTTGAATTAAGCTGCCTCTTGATGACCTTGTTGCTTCCAAAGTGAGATGAAGATAAGGGTTTAGATATATATAGGGATAGCTATTTTTGGTGTGGGGAGTTTTGACTAGATTTATTTCTTGTACAATTAATGAATTTTTTGGGACTAATAGTTATTATTTCTTATACAAATAATAATAATAATAATAATAATAATTGTATGATTGATTCATATGGGCTTTTTGTTTTACTTTTTAAGCAATTAGATTTTCTTCTGTAAATAGAATGGTGAATTAATATCTGTTTGTTGTGATTGTCCAGAAATAGGGTATGTGCAGTGGTTCCAAGAGTAAACTCTTCCCTTCAAATCCCATCATGGAAGACGAGTCTTGCAACCAGAAAGATGGTATCTCTTCCAAATGTTCAGTTTTGCTTGAATTAGCTGCCTCTGATGACCTTGTTGGCTTCCAAAGTGAGATTGAAGATAAGGGTTTAGATGTTGATGAGACAAGCTATTGGTATGGTAGAAGAATTGGATCCAAAAAGATGGGTTTCGAACAGAGAACACCCCTTATGATTGCAGCCATGTTCGGAAGCACTAATGTTCTAAAGTATATAACTGAAACTAACAAAGTTGATGTTAATAGGGCTTCTGGCTTGGATAAAGTTACTGCCCTCCACTGTGCTGTTGCTGGTGCTGCTAATTCTTTGGTTGAAATTGTCAAGCTCTTGCTTGACGCATCTGCTGATGCTAATCGTGTCGATGCAAGTGGAAACAAGCCTGCTGATCTCTTTACCCCTTCGTTAAAGTCTCCCAGCAATTCAAGAAGGAAGTTGGTAGAGATGTTGCTCAAAGGCGAAAGCTTGAGCGAAGATGAAGAGGAAAAGTTGATTATGATGTCTCAGCCATCAAAAGAAGGAAGTGAGAAGAAAGAATATCCTATTGATGTGTCGCTGCCAGATATAAACAATGGGATATATGGTACAGATGAATTTAGAATGTATTGCTTTAAAGTTAAGCCTTGCTCAAGGGCATACTCCCATGATTGGACAGAGTGCCCATTTGTCCATCCGGGGGAGAATGCTAGGAGGAGAGATCCAAAGAAGTACCCATACACTTGTGTCCCTTGCCCTGAGTTTCGCAAGGGAACATGCCAGAAGGGTGATGCCTGTGAATATGCACATGGTGTTTTTGAGTCATGGCTACATCCTGCCCAATATCGAACCCGGCTTTGCAAGGATGAGATAGGTTGCGCAAGGAAAGTTTGTTTCTTTGCTCACAAGCCTGAGGAATTGCGTCCCGTGTATGCTTCTACGGGTTCAGCAATGCCTTCACCTAAGTCTATGTCAGTTAGTTCAATGGACATGGCTACTTTGAGTCCACTGGCTCTTGGATCATCATCTTTGACATTGCCTGCTGTGTCTACACCACCTATGTCTCCCTTGGCAGCAGCTACCTCTTCGTCTCCCAAGAGTGGAGGCCTGTGGCAGAACAAAGTCAACCTCGCCCCTCCAGCTTTGCAGCTCCCAGGAAGTAGACTCAAGACTGCTTTATGTGCTAGAGATTTGGATCTGGAGATGGAATTGCTTGGGCTAGAAAATCACGCCAACCAACTGCAGCAACAACAATTGATGGATGAGATATCAAGTCTGTCCTCTCCATCTTGTTGGAGCAAGGACTTCAACAGAATTGGAGATTTGAAACCTAAAAACCTTGATGATGTTTTTGGATCTCTTGATCCTTCTTTGCTGTCTCCACTGCAGGGAATGTCATTAAAACCTTCTACTCCAACTCAGTTACAGTCCCCTACTGGACTTCAGATTCGTCAAAATATGAACCAACTTCGTTCAAGCTACCCATCTAATCTCTCATCCTCCCCAGTGAGGAAGCCTGCCTCGTATGGGTTTGATTCATCAGCTGCTGTGGCTGCAGCTATGATGAATTCAAGGTCCTCTGCATTTGCTCAGCGAAGCCATAGTTTCATTGACCGTGGAGCTGCAACTAACCGACTTGGCATCACAGCAGCTGCAAATTCTGCATCAATGATGTCCTCTAATTTTTCTAATTGGAGCTCTCCTGATGGAAAACTGGACTGGGGAGTTCAAGGAGATGAGCTGAACAAGCTCAAGAAGTCCGCTTCATTCGGGTTTCGCAGCAACAGCACTCCCTCAACAATAGCAGACGTGACACTATCTAATGTTGATGAGCCTGATGTCTCTTGGGTTAATTCCTTGGTTAAAGATGTTCCTCCTGTTGGAAGTTCATTGTTTGGTGCTGACAAGCAGTATAATCTCAGTAAAGGAGTTCGTGAATCACTTCCACCATGGATGGAGCAGATGTATATAGAGCAGGAGCAGATGGTGGCATAAGCAACATCTATGCGGCTCCAAACTTATGCTGACAAATTCAATACTCTTCGATTTCTTATTAGTATTTGATCATTGTATTTATGTTTAGAACAGTTAAACTTGAATAGCGGAAGAAGCAAGAACGAACACTTTGAGCAGGAAAAGTTACTGCTCATATCATCATAGATCAAGTGAAGTCTTAGGATAAAAGTTTAGGAGCAACAAGAAAGATCAAAATTTTTTAATTATTTATATTCTTATTTCTTTTTCTCCTTAACTGAGGAGATTGTACTTTGTATTTCTTATAATTTTAAGATTCAGTGCAATATGGAGAGACTATATTATCTTTTCTGATAAAAACCTTTTAAAGTCAGTGGGAGAATGGATCCTCAAGAGGCTTCTGTTTCAGCTCATTACTATCTTTATAATAAAGTGCTGTTTGTTTTGAAAAATTCTTGTGGGATTATGATGCTTTCTTTCTCCATTTTTAGTCTTGTGGAATATGATATCATTTCCTTTTGAGCAACTTTATATTGCACTATTGATGGTTCTTGATTCTTTTGCTCACTGATTGTATATTCTTTTGATCTTATTGAGTAATTCTTGGAATATATTTCTCACGAGCAGATGAATTGACTATAAGAATTTATTTTAAAAATATGAAATCACATAATCTCATAATCTTTGCTTGATCTTCAGGTGTTTTAATTAAATTAACATCAATTAATTAATACCTTCAAGTTTTTAACAATTATATTATTTTATTTATGTCAAGAGTCTTTAATCTAATATTATTCTTTTAAATATCAGTGTGTAGGATTAGAATTTTTTTTTACTTTTTTTTTTCCTCTTTAGATAAGAGTGTATGATATGTCATAATTGTTTAATCTACTCTCATCAAACTTAATTTTATGATCTTCTATCTTAATTTTACAAAGAAAAATTACTATTTTATCACTATAATGTTAAAAAAATTATCTAATTTATTCTTGCATTAACGAGAGAAAAGGAAAAAATAGATTGAATGATTCAACAATGTGATGGAAACAAAATTTAGAGATAAATTAATTTATTTTTCAAAATACGAAGATAAAATAATTAATGTAAATATTACACAAACATAAAATAGTAATGTTCCTTTATATTAAATTAAAAGCCAATCAGGTATGATTTGATTGGTCTTTCTACCTCTTATAAAAGATGTACAGAGTAAGAGATCTCAAGTTCGAGTCTTCTCAACCACAAAAGTAATCATCAATCTGGTGAATGTTATTCAAAAGGGAGGACTGTCCAGTTCTGTATTAAAAAATTAAACCCATAAAATGAATAATTGACAAAAGCAATAATAATAATAATAATAATAAATTGCATAATGGATATGAGGCATGAAGGTTGAAGGGTGGGTCCTACTCTTATCTGTTGATGAAATTATTAAAGAAAATGGTGAATGGGTCCTACATATTCACCATTGTCTTTCTTGGTCTTTCAGCAATTGGAAATTCTTATCGAGCAATGAGTTGTCCTCCTAAGTGCCAAGAGCCCCTTTAGCCGCCCACGAGTCTTATCGTCAACCAAATATTAATTTGGGTGTCCTATATGAGAAATTTCTTCTATCCTTCATTGAAATATAACATTTATTATTGTGGCCACCACCACAACCTCCATAATACTTTTTCTATAGAATTTCTTTTGTCTAGCATGATGATTTATCAATTATATATTTATAATTTTGTGGATGATAATTGACCTTTAATCCTATTTTATCATTGAATTATATAAGATATTAGTGATTTGATGTCTATATTTCTTTTTCTTTTTACCACCAAAGGCACACGTTTTTGAATTGAAATATTTCTTTTTATTATTTTTTTTAATAAAGTTTTCACTCAATTTGAGACTGCAACATTTGATCTATTAACCCGTCTAAGGCAACAATACCGGGTACGAGACACTTTGTATCGGAGCTTCGGAATGCAAAAATCTAAAATCATTATCCCTTTGATCTAAAAAATCCTGTAATTAAACATATTTCATACCCTATATTTTTTCTATATTTAATGGACAGTTCATATAGGATCTTTTGCATAGTAGTATGCAATTTTTATTTTACCGATAGGACATGTTTGTCTCGTCTGCTCGATAACTCATAAGAATTGTATAAATAATATAACTTCATCTTTAAAATTCATGCCACTTTAGAAAAATTTAACAATTTGACCCAATATCTCTTTAAATTTTTTTAGATTGTCGATACAATGTGAAACGTGTTGTGCTTTTCTAATTGCTGGACTCACATCCGACTGAGTCGTTTTCAAGATGAGTGGATTGTTAAATAGAAAAGATAACTTTTCCTCGTATCCTTGTAACATCTCCAATAAGATTACCGTCTACCATCACTTTTCAGCATGGAAATTTTAACCTGTTTTCGTTTCGAAGCTCGAGCGAAAGTGGGAGATGTAATGTATTTATGCTGATTTAACCACCTACTCATCATCAACCTTTTGTTTTATAATAAAAAGTTTATGCTGATTTTTCTCCAAGGCTGGCAGAAGCTATCGGGGTTCTGAAGGAACTTCGAACATGATCAAAGCTTCAAAGGATGATAATCCATTATATGTAAAAATAAAACACTAAAAAAAAATATGGATATCCAGCAGATCCTCATCTTATATAATCTTACTTCTAAAATTAAAATATTAGACAATAAAAAAAGAATAAATTTTACTTATTTATTATAATAACTTTTGAGATAAAGCTTTCTTTTAAATATTGGGTGTTGAATGGTATTCCATTTGTTTTTTTAATTCCTGCAAGAGACATCCTTTGGATTAAGTCATTTGTTATATATATATATATATATATATATATAATATATATAATATATAATTGTTTTTGTTTGACAATTTCTCGATATTGTTTTTGTTGACAATTTCTCGTTTCCCTCTAGAAGAGTTGGTCCGATTATGTCATATTATAATTTGACTAATTGTCCTTTTTTTTTTATTAATTTAATTCCCATTTGGGTTCAAATTTGAGATATATATTACTAAATTAAAATTAAAATTTATGGTGAATATGTTTTCAAAATGAATCTAATTGATTGATTGATTTAAAATTACATATGAATAACTTTGTGCTATCTTTAAAGTTTTATTGGCTAGTACAAACTTATAATTTATATAAAGAGATTCCTTGTTTGAATTTCTTTCAATATAATGAATTTATATAACTTAATTATAACAATTGAAGAAATATCTAAAGCTATATAATTCACCATAAAACATTTTTTTTTTACAACTTGTATCAGACACAAGTACAGTTTAAATGGATTAAATGAACTACAATGCTCTTGAAAAACTTTTTAGCAGTTTTGGTGTTGCCGATGGCAATGCCAAGGATGTAATTGTAATTTTAAATGTAAACAAATTGTGTCGGACACAACTGACGCCATTTAGCAAAACTCTGAACTGTATCAAAATATAAAATTCATCACAACAAATATATTTATCACATCAAATTACCAAGCAACAGGTAGAACATAATTTGAGATTTTGATAAGATGTCTGAAACATACATATTTCCGAAGAAATATAAAATTATTTTGAAACTAGACAATGAGGGGAGTTATTTAGTTCATACATAAATAATAAGGCAACAGGAAATGGACTACGCAAAGGGCAAAAAATATAAAGCTTAGTCTTGGTTCTGATAGTCCAAGCCTGCAAGGTCTTCATAATGATCACCCTCTTGGTCGACGACTTTCAGTAACTTCATGCTCATTTTCTGGAAAAATTTCATAGATGAAATTCCAATCTCGGCCTGGATGGCGCAAATTCAACTCAGACACTATTTTGTGTTGGTAAGCTATCATCGCATCAGTAAGGCCATTACTCGCCACAGCTTCTTGTTCTCGAGCATGACGCAAATCATTTTTCAACTGAGTTATCTCAGACTTAAAAGTGTAGATAAGAGATTCTTGCAATTGAAGACGCTTGATGTTAGCCTGATATTGGAGCTTCAGTGCTTGAAATTGGTAGTTCAACTCCTCAAAATTTTTCTTGGACCTAGTAGTTTGTTCGACCATGGTGGCATGAGCTAACTCTAATTTATGGTGCAATTCATTTTTCTTTATTTCTTCCTCAGTCAATAAACCCTTCAACCGGTGTATATGGCGATTATAAGCATGATTAGCATTCAAAAGCTACAAAATAAATAAATAAATAAGCAAAATTACAGAAAATTCTATTTTATATGAATATGTTAAGAATTTGGGCATAGGAGCAAATTAATCAAATGGGCTTTTAAGCAAATGTCTGGTTTAAAGTTTCACTTTTAACTAAACGGCGTAAAAGAATACTTATTAAGATAATAACAATTTCTGTAAAAAAAAAATGAATAATATCAAAATTGACCTTGCAAGAGAAATAGGAAACACTAAAAAAAAAAAAAAAAAAAAAAAAAACACTAAAAAAAAAAAAAAAAAAAAAAAAAAAGAAAATGTTGGAAACACTGAAAAAAAAGGAAACACTGAAAAATAGGAAACACTAGAAAAAAGGGAACACCTGAAAAAAAAAAGGAAATACTAAAAAAAAAGAAAAACAATAAAACGGAAACATAATGGAACACGAAATCTGTAAGAGCAAATCCCTATACAACTTATATAATTAACCATGATAATGATGACCGGTAACGCTACTGAGGACTGGCGACTGAGACAACATCAACAGCAAATACGATATACATGGCTTACACAATGTGTGTGTGTGTATATACCGTACTTACTTGGTTAGATCCAATGTATTAATTGGTATATATATATAATGTATTTAATCGATTTTACAGTATGTGTTAATATAGTATATACACATATACACACACTGTATCAGTAAATACTGTAAAATCAATTAAATACAGAATAGATATATGCATATCAATTAACACATTGGATCAAACCAAGTAAATACGGTATTACGGTATAATCCAAAACCAAGTAATACAATGTATACATATATAATACTGTATTGTATCAATCCAAACAGAATCGAGAGTCCCTATCTTATCTCCTATAACATTCACTGATTATAAAAAATTAATAGAGACAGTAAATACTGTAAAATCAATTAAATACAGAATAGATATATGCATATCAATTAACACATTGGATCAAACCAAGTAAATACGGTATATCAAACCAAGTAAATACAATGTATACATATATACTGTATTGTATCAATCCAAACAGAATCGAGAGTCCTATCTTATCTCTATAACATTCACTGATTATAAAAAAAATTAATAGAGATACTCTCAACAATAAACAACAGATCAAAAACAGAAATCAACATACCGTATAAATAAGAAACGAAACCATAGAACAACACCAATAATGAGAAGAACGATAACAAAAGGAGAAAGAACAATAAGAAAATGATATACCTCAACAAAAGGAGAAAGAACCATTAGAAAATAATGAGGGTTGAAAAATGGCAGCAGAAAAATATTATTAAATAAAGAAAGGGAAACAATGGTAAAAATAGAAAATTAATATAAAAGGAAACACTGACATTATTAAAACACTGAAATAAGAAATTAATATAAAAGGAAACACTGACGTATTAAAATATTAAAATATTAATAAATTATGCCCTACCAATAAAAAAGCGCACAATTGTAAAAGTATATCACAAAGGCTAATAATTTAAATCTTAAAGTCAAAATGATATTCTGTAAAAATAAGTTTTAAAAAGTGATATTTGCTATGATTTTCCTTAATCAAATTCAATTATAAATTTAATATTGAACTTATAATGAGTTAAGCTTACATTTAAGCCATTTTGGTTAGTTCACCCTTCTCATTATATGCCATTTACTTAGTTTGTATTTATTAGATGTGGGATTATCCACACTTCAACATAATAGGTAAATTAAATGTACTAACCATAAATAAGGATTTGTCCACATTTTGATGAATGCTTTCTATGTCCATCCTATCGAAGAAAGCTTTGTCTGTTGGTAGAAGACATAATCGGGCTAGCTCTTGGCTCTCGGGAACAACCTTTTGTGTTGTTGCATTCTCAGCATATTGCTTTAGAATGTACTTTCGGATGTCAGGACAAATCTCTAACTCATCAATTGAGTTGTGCGCCGATACTGAACCCTCAACCCGAGTTCTCTTTTGTGAATACTTGATATCTCTACTAATATTTGTTACTAGGGCAGGAACCCGAGGAACAACTCCTGCATTTCCTTGAGACAAGGGTGGATTACCAGAATAAATAATATTTGCTTGCTCTCGAGCTTTACTCGCTTGGTGACTCAATTTTCTGCCACTAGTCTCCAATTCCTTCTCTTTGTTTTTCTTCATTTGTTCGGCTAACTTGTTCAAATTGAGTTTTCCTTTTGAAGCCATATCTACAAAAAAAAATAGGAGTTAGGCATCATAGAATAGTTATTGAAAAGAATCAAGACAAAAATAAAATTACCAAATGGTGGCTTGCGAGGTAATAAAGGCCTGCTATCCAAGTAGGTGAGACATTTTTGAGCTAAGAGTTTGCTCAAATTGATAGCCTTGCACCCTCTTTGTCGAAGAAAAACGACACATTTTCTTTCTTCGAGTGTAAGCTCTCCTTGAGGTTTCGGAAAAAGAGGCTTAAAAGACCAAGTGGTTGGAATGCCAAAGCAAGTAGGATGTTGTAAAATGAAAAATTTTTTCTTCCAATTTCCTTTCATAGAAGTAATTTTTCCTTCCTCGCTAAAGATATCGAAGCCATCCTTAGCAGAGAGATAATAGTGATCTTCTATCTCTCGAAATTTGAGATCATACATTTCATTAACTACCCCCATAGTGAGCTCACATCCATTTCTTGCGGCAAGTATTGATAAACCAATCAACATACATAAACTATTTGGTTCAATTTGGCTTAATGTAACTTCATAAGTATTAAGGAAATCAAAGATTTCTTTACTAAGAGGGAACCGAACACCAACTCGTAAGTCCTCCTCATATACCATTATTTGATCGGCATTCAGATGATCAATTATGCGCACGTCGCTTGTGGGAAGTATCAAGCGGTAATTTGGTGGAATGCCATAAATAAGTGAAAGCTCTAAAAGATCACTCTCACTTAATTCAGAAGAGATATCAGCTACACGAATATTTTCTTTTCTTGCGTTCATAGCTTGTTTGGTAATGCTAGTAGTTACACATGGCAGATTTTCGACATTCATATCGAAAATATAATAAGGGTTACTCGAGATTGATGATTGATTGGCGAAAAGAATTCCAGCTTGATGAATTGCAAGACACTAATTCATGTACGGAATGTATGGGTGAAATAGTCGATTGATACCGATTAATTTTTAATTTATATGCATGAAAACGAGTTGATTGATGTTTGGTAGATATGTAAATGAGAGAGAGATTATTGATGTTTGATTAAATAAATATTAAAATGATAATTCCTCCATTTTTAAATACTTGTCACATTTGAAAAAGTATCATATTACAAAATATTTATCAAATTGCTTCAATTTTTAAAAAATTTGATGTTTGGATATATTAAATTAAGAGTAATATAGTCAATTTGTTTAATAATTTATTATAATTTAGATAAATTTAATAGTTTTTTTAAAGAACGTAAAATTCCAAATGTAACAAGTATTTAGGAATCGAGGGAGTAGTAAAGAAATAAATAATTCTATGCATGGAAATAAATATATTAGGAAGTAAGTATCTTTTAATGATTTTACAAATTTATAAGGAAATAAAGAATGCAATTAAGGAAAATGATATGTAAATGGAAAAATACAATTGAGAAAATTATTAATTAAGAAATAGACCTCCTATATCTGTGTTTGTATATATATATATATACACATCTACAAGTCTATGTATATATATGGAAATATATGTATCTCTATATATAGATATAGATTTAGATATATTGATATATATAGATATAAATTACAACCAAATACATAAATTCATTTCTATATTTTATTAATTTAATTTTATGACATGAGCCTTCAACTTTTAAAAAAATCTATTATATCTTAAATTATCAATTTTGGTACTACTAAATTTATCAAAATATTTTAAATTTATTATATGCTTATATTATCGAACACTGTAAAAAATAACGTTTACCATTTTGATAAATTATTTAAAAAAACTGTTGTAAAAAATATTATTTAATATTTTAACGAATTATTTAAAAATTGTTGTCGAATACAATTTTAGTGTTTTAATCATTTATTTGAAAAATTATCAGCGAACGCACTCTTAACGTGGTAGGTAACAAATGGCAACACAGAAACCTATACGGTACATATTAATTTTATAAATACGTAACCGTCTGAAATTCATTGAAAAAAAAAAAAGAGCTCCTCATTGGGCTCGGGTACATGAAAATAGCAGTCCTATCTATCTAGCTCCGCTTCCATCCTTAGAGTAATGTGTACTGTCAAGGGGTACGGGTTTTGCGCCTAGATCGTAGAATCAAGTCAGCCCATTGCATCTTCAACAATTACATTTGGGCAATAAGGTCAGGCCCACACTCAGTACTGTCAGAGCAAAAGCATTGTTTGGGTTTTTTGGCGGCTACAACTTCCAGGATAGAATTCTTGGACACCATTGTTGGTTTACTTCATTTTTTTTCCTGATTGAAGCTCTATTCTTTGTAGTTGGAGAAGAATTCAGCATTCCTTCAAATCAAACACAATTCATTGCCAAATTATGCTCTCAGGTATCTGTTTATTTTTCTATTTTTCACTTTCGCTGTTATGAACATCAACTGTTCGATCAATTCCCTCTTAGAGAATAAACTCACTCAATTCTTGACCTTTTGCTGTATTTAGGAAGGCATATATGTATATATGAATCTCAAATCTTCATTTTGCATTCGGTTCTATTATCAACCTTATTGCTTCATGCATTTTCGCTTAGTTCATCATGGAAATGGAGAGTTGGAAAAAAAACCAATCTTTTTATATCAAATACCTTTGAAGAGTTACGAACGAGGGCATTGAATGAAAATTTTTGACTCTACCAATTTGTTTTTATTGTTAAGGTTAGCTGGAAGTTTGGTTTTCATTCTTTTGTTGGTTTATTTTGTTATCGCATTTTTTGTGAATGTAAATTTTTGAGCTTTGGTTTTCTGTGTTCTTTTTTTTTTTTTTTTTCGTGAAAGGCTTGGCTACTGGGAATCACTTGCAACCCAAATTTGTCAACTTGCAAACAGGGCATGTTTCTGGTATGATTTACCTCTTTGTTGTTTCACAATAACTATTCATCTCAAATGTGCAATTGCTGAGTCAATAATATTTAACCTCTCAATCATATTGATTCCATAATGCATTCAGTATGCGATGTGGGTAACTCTTTAATGTACGTAATTCTGTAATGAACACAAGAACTATGCTTCAAGCATCATGAATGTTGCGACTTGGCAGGTCGTAAGATGGGGAAAATATATTTGGCAAGACTTGGGCATTCAAAGAAACGAACTGCATGCAAATTTTCCCCATCAGAGAAAGTCACCTTTGCTCATGAGGAGCATGAAAAGAATTGGCCTTTGGTTAAGATGTGTGGGATTGCAACAGCTAGAGATGCTGCAATTGCAGCAGAAGCTGGAGCTAATTTTATTGGGATGATTATTTGGCCCAATTCAAAACGTTCCATTTCACTTTCAGTAGCAAAGGAAATTTCAAAAGTTGCAAGGTCATATGGAGCAAAGCCTGTTGGTGTGTTTGTGGATGATGACACGGACACAATATTGCGAGCCGCAGATGCATGTGATCTTGAGTTTGTGCAGGCATGTATTTGTAATTTTTTGATTTAGGTTTCTATAACATGCATTTTACCGTTTTAGTCTTTTTAAGACCCTGTATAATGCAGCTTCATGGAACTGGTTCACGGGCAGCTTTTCCAGATTTAGTTAAAGAAAAACAGGTAATATATGTTCTTCATGCAAATGCGGATGGAAACCTTATAAATCAAATTTCAGATGAGGATTGCTCAATGGTTGATTGGGTTCTTGTTGATAGTGCAACAGGTGGTAGGTAAGAGAATACCATCTTCCTTGCATCAAGCTTTATTGTCCATTTACATTGCTAATGGAAATTAATCCTTGGGTGAAAATTACTAGTCAGATGAACGCTGGAGTTGCATCTTAGTATCCCTACTTGTCATTTCAATTTTGCATTAACTTTTCGGGGTTGGAAATTTTGATCTTAAATTTTTCTTAGTGGCAAAGGGTTTAACTGGGCACAGTTTAAATTACCACCAATTAGAAGCAAGCATGGATGGCTCTTGGCAGGAGGAATCCACTCTGAAAATGTTTGTGAAGCTCTGTCTATTCTTAAACCTCATGGGGTTGATGTCAGCAGTGGCATTTGCGACTCAGATGGCATCAAGAAAGATCAATCGCAAATATCTTCCTTGATGTATGCTGTTCGTTCTGTACGCTATTGATTGTGCTTTAAGGTAATCAATCCACAATTGCGCAGACTGCAATCTGGCTCATCAAATTGACAGAAGATATTACATTATAATTGTGTATGCAATTTCAATTTACTTTCATTTATTTAAGGGTAAGTTCTGTGCTCTTGGAAGTACAAGGACCTCTGTACTCAAAAAGTATAATTTGTGGTTGTTTTATTCATTCACTTAAAAGTTCCTGAGCACCTCAAAATGTTTTGTTCAAATGTGATTAATACGATTTGCAATTTTCTTTTTCATCACTCTAGTTTTGATTGATAAAAATGAACTTTGCTGACACGTTCATGGTTCTTTCTGAGTCATGCATTTCGTTCTTGACTTTATAATGCATAATTGCATATAATTTGAGAGAGAGAGAGAGAGAGAGACTGCTCTAAAATCCTTCCGAACCCACAAATGTACATAAGCAGCACCTATTTACTTTGAAATATATAAATAGGCTATTCAGATTTTAAGAATTGAATACTAATCTTTTATTTATAGATAAAAAATTAATCATTCTTAAAATAAAAGTAAGTAATGTATTAATTATTGTTATGGGAACAAATTAATATTTTATAATTTTATTTATTTATTGAAATTTTCCATCTCGAGTTGATATGTTTAAGTAATTAATCATGTAACTAAAATTGTAAATCTAGAATAATTTATATTTTTTATTTCATATTTTTAGCTTTCCAAGCAATGTAAAGTACAAGCATTTTCCTCCCCATCTAAACATGAGGAAGGAAAATAACAAAGAAAAGAAAAAGAATAAATATATATATTTCATTATATCTTTTTTTTTTTTCCCTCTCAAATCCAATCCAAACATTCTAGATTTTCTATCACAACCATTGATGTCCTGTAGTGGATCGATGTTGTCTATATTACAACTAAATTGGCTGATATTATCCATCTGCAATTCCTCTTATCAACAGAAAGGTTGTCCCATATAGTTGTCAGAAATTAAAATCACTAGTGACAGTATCTTGGCTCGTTGCAGATAAAAAATTTTGCAGCTTTTTATTCTGTTTTCTTACCACCCCATGGATTAGGATCTTTTTGATAGTATACAATATCTCCAGTATCACTCACATAGTGATCTTCTTTCATGCTTCTCACTAGACTTCCTAGTAAGTGAAAGGGAAGAGGTCCAGATGTTCTTGGCTCCCGGTAGTATTTCCCTATCACAGGTTTAGCTGCTTCAGTCTGTTAAATGCAGAGTTGTTAGAAGCAGAAGAGACTGAAATGCAAAACCAACATATTGGTAATAGTCGGGGAAAAAATTAAACTCACTGCTTCAATTAAGTGATAGTGTGGAATTTGAGGGAAGAGATGATGAATCACATGAGTACCAATATCATGGTGGATGTTGTTGATCCATCCATAATCGCGATCAACGGTTGTAAGCCCTCCTCTCAGATAACTCCATTCCTGTTGTTTATATCAAGAATACAACCAGTAAATATTAATGGAAAATGTGAAGTCAAGAATGCTTTTAGCCTCAATATATAGGCTCTAATGTTCATACCTTTCCGCGATACCAGGGAAGCTTATCCTCATGACCATGGTGATGCAAGTAGGTCACAAGGTCCAACCACATAACAAAGATCTGAACATAAATGCAAGTTTCATTATTGTAAACATAAAGCACTAAAGAATAAATTACTTGTAGAAAGTTTTTTCTTCTGTAGTAATCTTGATAGGTAAAGTAATTGCAGAACTAGAACTAAATAGACCTACCCAGTAAGGGATGCCATAGAGTTTAAGCATTTGAATAGGACCCAGTATAAAATTTAAGCCCACAAGCAATGCAGCCATTGCACTCCAACAAGCAGTTGAGGTAATAATATCTTTTCTCTCATTTGGGACAAACAAATCACTGTCTGGATGAAAATGAGATCCTTTTTTTCCAGGGCTTCTGCCCCACTGCAAGGTAGTTGGAATGAACATCATTACTACACTCTCAGAACACATATTATTAAGGTCATAAGTAGATAGTATTAATTAAGATGAAACAGGCTTACCAGATAGAAAGGGTAAGCAAGCAATGGGAATGGCAAAGTGAACCTTAACATCTTAGTGAGGTTGTCTAAACTTTTGAAGATTTTCTCAGACAACTGGAACAAAAAAAAATAAAACATGACTTCTAAGTTAGAGAAGAGACCAAAAAGATTGATTGAGACAGAGACTCACTGGATGCCATGATTCATCATTTTCAACATGGCCATGATTTTGATGATGAGTTCTGTGGCTGATTCTCCTGACATAATCAGTGAAATTGCAATGCTATCAGATTGAATGTTAAATAAAAAATTGACATCAAAACAAGAAAACATAGGATTTCGCAGGGACCAACCATCCATGGTAAGGAACAAGGATTGAAGAATGAAGGAGATGACCCACCACACTATTTAACTTTGGATTACTTGAGAAGCTCCCATGTCCACTGCAGAATTAGAACCAAACAGTCGAACACAATTCACATAAGAAAACAAATAAGCATGAAAATGCAATAATGAAACTAACAATATAAAAAATTTACCAATCATGGCCAAGAACAAAGAGAGCCCAGAACATGGTCCCTTGAGAAAACCAATAAAGAGGCCAAACAACCCAATTGTTAAAAAAAGCAGCAATAGCAGCCAATCCAAAAACCACAGCCACATCTCTCACAACATAACTCATAGATCTCCATGGATCTTTAACCCAACAATGTTTGGGTATGGCTGCTCTTATGTCAGCTAGCTTAAAAGGTGGTGGAGAACCAGGGTCAAAGAATTCTTCTTCACCCTTCACCTCTTCATTAACACCCTCTCTTTCTTTATCATCCTCTTGGGCACTCACAGTTCTGAAATTATTAACTGGAGCAGCAACATTTAATGCCCAATTTCTTTGTTTAGAGCAACTTGAAATATTGAAAGAAGGATCAAGATTGTAACTTTCTGAGACTGGCAATTGTTTAAGCTTGAAAAGATTGCAACTTTTTGTTGTAACGCCAGCTCTGGTTTGTAAGTATATTCTAGGAAGAGGTCTTAGGCCACATTCAGACAAAACCCAGCTAGTAGCCATTGAAAACCCAGAAAGAGAAATGAACGGATCAAGAGTCAAGAATCAAGAAAGCAAGAAAGCAACCAAATTGGAGAAGCAGAAGAAGAGAAAAGAAATCAAGTGCTTTCCTCCTCCACTTCTACCTATTAGAATCTCTCAATTTGTGCTTATTGTCTTCTCTATCTCTGTGATTCGTGTGCATAGAAACGTATATACATGTGCGTGTGAGATGAAGGTGGATTGAGGCGTTTCATGTCTATATATGCCTAATTTTTAGCTTGTGATGGCTTTTCGTTTGTGGAACTGTGGGGCGTGAAAGAAATGCAAATTTTTTAACTATTTGACCTCCAAAACGTGTGGAAATTGGAAAAGAAAATGATGTGGCTAAATTTGGAACATTTGGTCATGTTCACTTCTATAAAAGGTCAATTAACTTTTCCATTTCGTTGCCTGGGTTTTTATGTCGTATGATTCACACACCATTGCTATTTTCTGGTCTAAAAGGTAGTTCCTTCTCCGACCACTTAGTCTTCGTTATAGTATTTCAAATTCAAGGTTTTAATGCCAAGATTAATAATGTTGGTGGTGGTGTGCCACTCAAGTGGGACCCACACGATTTGAAAAATAAAAAGGAAGAGGAAAATTTATTTTCGGTGGACGCGTGATTAACGCGTACACTAACGCTTCAAAACACACCAACAAAAACGAGTGAGAGATCAATAGAGAGTTTTAGTTTTAAGAGGGTTTTTAAAACTAAGGGTTTAGAAAATAGTGAAGATTATTAAGGTGTTTTTGGGAAACACTTGTGCGTGCCACTATTTTGTATTACGCTCTTGGTAAGCCTACTATTTTCAATAGTGAAAGAAAAATATTCGGAGTTGGTCCCGTGGACGTAGCCCTAAACAGTTAAGGGTGAACCACGTAAATTTCTATGTGTCCCAAATTTTAATTTTTCCGCTGCTAAAAGATTATAGGTGTTTTTGGGAAAAACACACTTGTGGCGTGCCACTATTTGGTATTACGCTCTTGTTAAAGCCTACTATTTTCCATGTGAAAGGAAAAAAAAAATAATTCGGAGTTTGGTCCGTGGACCGTAGCCCTAAAACAGTTAAGGGTGAACCACGTAAATTTCTATGTGTCCCAAATTTTAATTTTTCCGCTGCTTAATTATTCTCGTATTTTTATTGCCGGTATCCTAACAAGTGTTATCAGAGCCTGGTTCAGCCGGTCAGATAGCGGTACCGGATCCATGGATATATTTTGAAAATAAATATACCATGAAGGCGAAAAAATTACGACGAGTCCGTTGGTGCAGTCCATTCAGAAAGACGTTGTAGAATCAACCTAGTGGTGAATAATAAAACTTGAAAATAAATATACCACGAAGACGAGAAAATTACGACGAGTCCGTTGGTGCAGTCCATTTAGAAAGACGTTGCAGAATCAACCTAGTGGTGAATCGCAAAGTTGATTGTGAACAGTACTATTAGCGTTACTGTAGCCCAGCACTATTCACGTGTACGGTTACTATTCTCTTATATTATTACTGTTCAAATATACGGATACTATTCATTCAAAAATTATGGAGGCTAGGACGAGCAAAATGATTAGTCTAAATGGCGCAAATTATCACATATGGAGAAATAAAATGAGAGATCTCCTAATGGTAACCAAAATGCACCTGCCCGTGTTTGGTTCAAGCAAACCGGAAGACAAGACTGATGAACAAGACTGATGAAGAGTGGGGCTTTCCGATGCACGAGCAAGTTTGCTGGCTATATTCGACAATTTGTCGACTGATAATGTGTACAACCACATCTGTAAGCGAGACTACGCAGAAACATTATGGGACAAGCTTGAACAGCTGTTAATGCTCAAAATCCAAGGCAACAACCCAATTGTTTTTTATTTGACAAAGCTGATGAATTTCAATATCAAGAAGGTACTTCTGTTAGCAAAGATCACTTGAAGTGAATTGCAGGCGAATATTCAACCAGCTTGTCAAATATGGGTAATAAATTTTTGATGATTTAAATCCTCGGTCCTTATGGTGCTTGCCCTCCTTCGCAGAGTCTTGGGAGACTTTGAAGATATCAATTACAAACTCTACACCACATAGTGGAGTTAGCTGGGAATTTGTTAAAAATGCTGTTTTGAATGAAGAAATGAGACGTAAAGCACAGAATCCTTCTTCATCTCAATCAGACATTTTTTTAGCAGATGCTAAAAGAAATAACCAGCCCAGAGGGAGGAGCCAATCTAGAAGTTCAAATATAAGAGATAAGAGCAGGGGTAAATCAAACAAGTTTGCCAATACTGTGTGCCATCATTGTGGGAAGAAGGGGCACATTAAAAGGTATTGTCGGAAGTTCAAAAGTGATCAGGAGAAGATCAAAGGCAAAGCAAAAAAGGCAAAGCAAAGGAAAGAAAGAAAGCAGTGATGATGAAGCAATGTCATTGTTGGAGTTCCAACTGTTTCAATTGAACGACACTAATCAATCTTGCACTATCCCAAGAGACAGTTGGGTAATTGGATAGTGGGGCCTGACACTTCATGCAACATCCTCGGAACGAAAATTTTTTCCATCTTACACACCAGAAATCTGGGTGTGGTCAAGATAGCAGATGGCAGAACTGTTGAAAGTCGTCGGTAAGGGAGACAAGACGGCAAACTGTTGAAAGTCGTCGGTAAGGGAGATATTTGTCTGGAGACAGAAAATGGTTCGAGATTAATTTTAAAAGATGTCGTGCATGTACCAGGCATGCATTCTAATTTAATCTCGGTTGGCAGACTTGATGCTGAAAATTTCTGTAGCACCTTCAGAAATGGTCATTGGAAGCTCACAAAAGGTTCCATGGTGGTAGCCCATGGAAAGAAAGATCCAAAGCTGTCTCGAGATACTTTAACTATAACAGAGGATGACAGTACAGTTGAATTGTGGCATAAACGACTAGGCCACATGAGTGAGAAAGGAATGACAACTCTGGTTAAAAACAACATGCTGTCAAAAAACACATGCTATCTGGGATTGGAATAAAGTTCCAATGAAGAGAGAAATGTTCTGATTATATGGCAGGAAAGCAGAATAGAGTAGCTTTCAAGATTTCTCAGCCTTCCAGAATGAAGAATGTGTTAGATCTGGTGCATTCAGCTCTATGTGGACCATTGACGATGTCATATAGTGGAAATCGATACTTCGTAACATTTATCGATGACCATTCTAGGAAGACCTGTGTGTACACTTTGAAGTCTAAAGATCAAGTTTTAGATGTTTTTAAACAATTTCTAAACTTGGTTGAGCGACAAACAGGCAAAAAGCTGAAGTGCATTAGAACAGATAATGGTGGATAATACACTGGGCCATTTGATGCTTTCTGCAAAGAGCATGGTATTCGACATCAAACAACACCTCCCAAGACGCCGCAACTGAACGGTTTGGCTGAGAGGATGGTTTGGCTGGAGGATGGAACAGAAACTATATTGTATGGGGAGAGAGATATCAAATGACTTTTACTCTATCAGCATGCATGAAGCATGTTGAGTGATCTAGAGAAGAGTATTTAGGGGTGATAGAACTCTTCTTACAGCAGTTTCATCTTAATAAATCGTTCACCTTGTCGTTCCTCTTCAGTATGATACTCCAGAACGAGTATGGTTCAGGAAAGGATGTTTCCTAGCTCACCTTGTGTTCCTCTACAGTATGATATTCCAGAGCGAGTATGGTCAGGAAAGGATGTTTCCTATGATCATTTGCGGGTGTTTGGTTGCAAAGTCTTCGTACATGTCCCAAAGGATGAACGGTCTAAGCTTGATGTCAAGACTAGACAGTGTGTATTCATTGGCTATGACCAAGACCAATTTGGCTATAAGTTTTATCACCCAATCCAGAAGACGATGAAAAGAAGTCATGATGCTGTATTTGTTGAAGATTAGACTATTGAAGATATTGAAAAGACTCAGAAGCAGTGTGCCAATAGATCTGATGAAGACTCAACAAACATACAAAGAGTCCCTCTAATAGAACGCAGACAAATTGGAGATGAAGAAAATGTTCCACAAGAACAAGTGCCAGAGTTAGAAAATCCAGAAGTTAAATCCAGAAAGTTCCTCATCAAAATGAACCAGAAGAGATTTTGATGGTGTTCATGTTCAGCCACCAGCACTATAAGGTTCTCAAACTTTAAGAAGGTCTAGTAGAGTCAGACAACCATCTACTAGATATTCAGCAAATGAATATGTATTGATGACTGGCGGGGGAGAACCTGAATGCTTTGAAGAAGCAATAGAAGGTGAACACAAAAGGAACTGAATTGAAGTCATGCAAGATGAAATGAAATCCTTGCATGAGAATAAAACATTTGAGCTGGTGAAGTTGCCCAAAGGTATGAAAGCTTTGAAGAATAAGTGGGTGTTCAGGATCAAGCAGGAAGAACACAGCTCCCAACCACGATTCAAAGCTAGACTAGTTGTGAAAGGATTCAATCAAAAGGAAAGGGTAATTGATTTTCGATGGATATCTTTTCACCAGTTGTGAAAATGACATCCATTCGGACAGTGTTCGAATGGCCGCAGTTTTGATCTGGAAAATCGTTAGCAAATTGGATGTAGACTGCCTTTCCTACATGGGAGATTTGAAGAAGAAATAATACATGGAGCAGCCAGAGGTTTCATAAAAAAGGGGAAGAGATTATGTTTTGTAACTGGAAGAAGAGGCCTGTACGGCTTAAAGCAGGCAACCAAGACCAGTGGTACAGAAGTTTGAGTCTGTTTATGGGGACAAGGTTACAAAAGACTACTTCAGATCACTGGTGTCCTTTGTAAGAAATTGTCTGATGATGACTACATTATTCTCTTGCTCTATGTAGATGATATGGTTGATTGTTGTCAGAATTCCTGTCAGAATTAATACGCTTTGAAAGAACAGCTAGTAAGTCCTTTGCTTGAAAGACTTAAGGACCAGCAAAGCAGATTCTCGCATGAAGATTACAAGAAATAGAAGAACTAAGAAAATTTATTATGG